TCTCAAAGAAGGATTTGGTAGTGGGATTGTAAAACTTAAAGCCCCGAGAGCATTCTGCATATCCAACAAAATAGCAACTAATTGTTCTTGAGTCCAATTTCTTTTCAAGTGGCTTGTAAGCCCTTGCCTCAGTTGGACATCCCCAAACATGCAAGTGCTTTAAACTAGGTTTCTTGCCAGTCCAAAGTTCATACAGGGTTTTAGTCACTGCTTTTGATGGAACCCGATTAAGGATGTAAACTGCAGTCTTTAGTGCCTCTCCCCAAAGTGATTCAGGTAAAGAAGTATGACTAATCATACTTCTGACCATGTCTTTAAGAGTTCGGTTTCGTCTTTCCGCTACGCCATTCATGCTAGGTTTACCTGGAATAGTGTACTGTGGGACAATTCCACACTCCTTTAGGAAGATGGCAAATGGTCCTGGACGTTGTTCTCCTAATCCGTCATATCTGCCATAGTATTCACCACCGCGATCAGATTTGACAGCCTTAATTTTCTTGCCTAATTGTAACTCAACTTCGGCTTTGAAATCCTTAAATACGTCCAATGATTGAGACTTCTCATGCATCAAATATAGGTATCCATATCTAGAGTAATCGTCTATGAATGTGATAAAATACCGTTGACCATTCCAAGAAGCTGCAGGGAACGGTCCACATATATCGGTATGTATCAATTCTAAGGCATTTGTAGCTCTATTGGAACCTAATTTCCTTGAGTTTGTTTGTTTCCCTTTTATACATTCAACACATACTTGAAAGTCGGTTAAATCTAAGGGATTAAGGATTCTTTTATCAACAAGCCTCTGAATTCTCTGTTTAGAGATATGTCCTAAACGCTTGTGCCATAAGATGGCAGAATCCTCATTTAATTTTCGCTTAGTACCTTTAGCAACATAGTGCAAAATTTCATTATCTAAAGTAGTAGTCTCAAGCATGTATAGTTTATCAATTAAAGAACCAGTGCCAACCAATTTCAAATTTAGATAGAAACCAACTTTATTGTTKYYAAAAGAACAATTATAACCAAATTTGTCCAAACATGAAACAGAAATCAAATTTCGTCTAAATGACGGTGCAACAAAAGTTTCAACTAAATCCAAATAAACACCAATTTTTAATAAAATTGTAAAGGTCCCAATAGCTTGAACTCTAACTTTAGTGCCATCGCCCACATATATAAATCTTTCATTATCATTTGGCGGTCGGCTCCACATGCAGCCCTGCATAGACATACTTATGTGAGCAGTAGCACCAGAATCTACCCACCAAGTATTCATAGGTACAGAAGCTAAATTAGCTTCAGAACAAACAAAAATGAGAGTCTTACCATGTTTCTCTCGCCAAGCAGCATACTTAGGACACTCTTTCTTCATTTGTCCCGCTTTCTTGCAAAAGTAGCAGGTGAATTCCTTATCCTGCTTCTTATGCATTTTCTGCTTTGGCCCTTTTTCTACAGTTTCCTTAGCTCTCTTTCTCTTCTTATCCTGAGAGGTTGATGCCAAGTGAACACTCTCCATCTTATCTTGCTTTAGTCGTTCTTCCTCTTGCACAAGATGTGACATGAGCTCATTAAGAGTCCATTTATCCTTCTGAGTGTTATAACTCACCACAAATTGTCCGAATTGTGCAGGAAGAGATATGAGAATCAAGTGAACGAGCAAGTCTTCCGAAAGCTCTAACTTTAGTTCCTTGAGTTTCCCATTGAGATTAGACATTCCCATGATGTACTCCCTTATGTTCCCCTTTTCTTTATACCTCATGGTGACGAGTTTCATCAAAGTGTTACTCGCTTTCGCTTTTTCATTTTTAGCAAAAAATTGCTCAATTTCAGTGAGGAATTTCTTAGCATCAGTGCTCTCAGTGATAGAGCCCCTAAATCTGCTTAGAATAGAGCGTTTCATGATCATTAGACACATGCGATTAGAGCGATCCCACCTCTCAATTTTATCCGTATTTGGGTTTTCCGCAATGGAAATGGGTCGCTCAATCCGAAGTGCTTGGTCCAAATCCATGCAACCGAGAACAATTTTCACACTCTCTTTCCACATGGCATAATTCGTCCCAGTCAGAGTAGGAATACCAGCAATTTGAGCAGATACATTATTAGCATTAGCAACTGTATATTAAACAAAACAAATAACATGCTTAACAACTATGTCATATCGGAGGAAAATACGTGCATGTATGACATAAAAAATTCGAAACATTGGTGGGCCCATTAACAAGATACCTAACACAACATCAATATTTAGTCTTTGGACTAAAATATTAACTTGTAAGTGGTACTCTCAATGTAGTAATCAAATATTGAAAATAAATCCTGTCAAACAATACCCTTCCTTTGGGCTGGTCATTGCTCACATGGAAAACTTTACAATAATCACATATTTATTACCACATGTATATTAATTATCCGGCCAAATAACAATTTTCCTTTGGGTCAATCACTATTCGCATAAATAACAAATATACTCATCTTTATACCTTAAAACAAATTAATTGTCACAACAGTGGTTACTTTGGCAACTATATTATATCAATCAATTTATTTTAAAATACAAGACAATTAAGTGCAAACATAATAAAACAGTTTGGACCTTGATATAATTTTACTCCATCGAAACTAATGTTTCAGACAATCTACACTTAATCTCAATAGAAAATATTATTTATTTCTTAATAGCCCAACTAACAAACAAAATCCTCCGAAAACCATAACATAATCTTTATTGAACGAAAGAAATTATCTTAAACAAAAAAAACTTCTTTTCCGTTCACAACAACGAATAACAATAATAAAATATAACAATTGTCATGGTAGTAATCAGTTTCACCAAAAAAAAAAGGTACATTTATATGGATATCACAAAATATATACAAACAATTTATACAATATATGGCTGTCAAACTTGAGTTCTAGATAAACGAAAAACGATAATAATCACGAATCTAAAGAACAATAAACGACGGCAGAAATCTCAAACCATTGATATCTAAAAAAAAATCATCCATCGAAATTGTTTCACACGATTACTCTAACCCAAAAGTTTTTTTTATTCATTCGAATCAATGGCGACAGAATAAAAAAAATCCTTTTAAATCCCCATAACAAAATGATTCACCTTACGAAACAATTATACCACAAAACAAAAAACAAATTATTTCTAATAATTTAATGTGAAAACGTGGCTCTGATACCATTTGTTGGAAAAAATGAAGATTATCACAATGAATTATTAAGAACATACGAATAAGAACACACGTACCCGTCTCTATTAGTTAGGCTTGAGTATGAAACGTAGATCCGAGATTATGGCTTTCCTCAACGCAAAATCCTTGATGTCCTTCCAATGGGGAGAGAATGAACGTATTGATTTTGGTGTGTGGGAACCATAACCCTAGTCGTCTTTATATAGAGTTGTAATTAAGGTTCCCATTAAACCCTAATTATAACCTAATGGGTTTCCTCTCATTAAGTCCATACCAAATTGGGTTCTAATGAGCTATCTTTAATTAATCACATAATTAACCAATTACTTAAATAACGTAATATAATTATATAATAATATGTAAGCCCATAATTATTATTGGATTTATAAATAAATCCCAATATCACCCCCCACAAACCTTGTTTCATTTGGGACCTTCACCTGTTACCCTCCACAAACCTTGTTCCATTTGGGTGTAGGATTTGTTGTCGAAAATGGGATGAACCCAGATATGTGAGAATCCACTTCCTTCCCTTTTTTTTGTAAAGAAATGTGAGAATCCACTTCATTAAACCAAGATATCAACAACTGAATCCCGAGGTTTCAAAATGTCCAATTTATGAGGTTAAACTAAGTTTGACGATGAGATAGATACCATCTTAGTTAGAGAAACTTGTACATGGAAAAAAAAGATGGAATTCTCGCAAAAAAAGGAATAAAAACTAAAATTACGTCGTTGATCCATGAAAGAATCTTGGATCTGCTCATGATAAATGACTGAATTAACCAAACCGATTAAGCCTCATAAAATAAATCAACACATCATTCTCTATTTATTAGAAAATTTTACCCATTATCCTAGTTCTTTCCCACAAAAATATTACAGCAATTCCAAACAAATGCAAAGTGAACAAGCATAGGTTTCAGATTTAATTTCAATCCAAATAAGTTGTGTATTATACAAGAAATGGGATCCAGAAACCAGTCTTAACTAATGAATAGGGTGATATTGTGCCGAAACTCTCTTGGGAGGCAGCTTCCGTAGAATGTACAGCACGAGAGCTGAAGGCAGGATCTCAACTACCTGTTAACCACCCAAAAAACAAAATCACACGATCAATCTACTCCCGTAATTTATAGAATGATGGCATATTGGTAATTTCTTTTAGTACCATGTAAAAGATGAGGTTTAGGACCGGATGATCAAGAACGTCCAATGACACTTCAGAATCAAAAGCCGATACAACATCCTGAAATAAAAATAATAGAATTAAACGTCATTCTGTTTGGAAACATCTTTTTCCTATTCCTAAACCATGTGGTATTAGGTTTAAATGGCTCATAGGGCTTGTTGGGTTGGTTATCCATTAATTTGTCTTCATAGATTCATAGATGTAAGGAGCATGTTTTTTTGGTTGGGAGGTGCACCTTTGGGGAAAACTTGGCTTTCTACATAAAACTCCCCCTAGAAACTGACTAAATAAGCCACTTTCTATATCATTAAGTCACTACCAAACAGTCACGTATAGCTGGAGGAATAAACTGTGATCTTAAGAGACAGGCCCATAGTTACCCTTATTCCAAGTTGCCATCTGCTGGACCGTCCTATTGGAAGGAGCCTAAAGGCCTAGCCTTTATTAACATCCATAATAGTTATAGCAAGGGAAAACAGCTTTCTTACTTTTATTTTTCTAATTAGGTTCCAGTGAAATTATAGGCAAGGGAAGTAGATAGAAACTTACCACAAAGCATCTTACAACAAAACATGTAAAGCATATTGCTGTCACGGATCCAACCTGCACAATTCATAACAAGAACAGTGTTTCCATTAGGTTACTATAATATTCTAGATGCAGATTGTCGATGTTGTGGGTCCTGTTTTTTTTCTCTCAACATCAAGGCAAACACTGTTCTTTTTCCTCGAATCATGAGATTAGGACCCACAGCATGAAAATGCTAAAATGGCCTATATCTATATGTATATCTATATGTATATATATAGGGGCCATTCAAGGGAGAACTAATTAGTTTGTGGTAATCGTGAGATCCAATCCCAACCACAAATTAATAGAAAAATTAGGAAATTTATAATTTTTGTAATTTTGAATTAAAACTTTGATGCAAGGACATTTATAATTTTTGTAATTTTGAATTAAAACTTTGATGCACGAACATTTTAGGTATTTTCTCTTCTCTCTCCATCCCCCGTCCTCCGGCCTCCGGTGATACCACTGTGATACCTAAAAATACTGACTCTGTTAAACAAAAGACATAGTGTGACACCCAAGCACATATAATATGCATTGTGATACCACTGTATTACATCTCCGATCGACCACACAACCAACCTCAGTGTGATACCCAAGCACATATAAGATGCATTGTGATACCACTGTGGTTTGTGGTATCACCGTGGAACGGAGAGAGGAGAGAGGATAAAATACCTAACATGTCCTTGCATTAAAATTTTAATTCAAAATTATCAAAATTACAAATTTCCTAATTTATCTATTGATTTGTGGTTGAAATTGGACCTCACGGTTACCACAAACTAATTAGTTCTCATTTGATTAGACCCCTATATATATGTATATATATGTATGTATGAAAGTAGTCATTTTCTTTTTCTATGCTATATTGGTTTTAAGCCATTTGCATTTTTCAAGAATAAGAACCTTCCTGCATAATTATGGTAAGACGATATATAATGAACCTTAAAAAGCTAATTAGTACCCTCAATAAGGTAACAATAAATCTCAAAGATCATCAACTAAAAAAAGGGTATATGCTACCCATTGGAGCACTCTCGCACTGGTCTCACAGCCATCATGGGGGAGCGAAATAGTGGTGTCCCATAGGCATGCAGGAGGATGGTGCCTGGATACGTGGATTGTGGAAGAAATGGCAAATTGCTAATCAGGGTTTCTTCCCAATCAACTCTCTCAAATTAGAGGTAAAAGAAGTTGCAAGTCCTTTAGAGTATACATATCAATAGAATAATGAAACCGAACCATTTAGATAAAAAAAACTAATTTGTATCAAAAAGATGAAGACAGCAAATGGAGTGTTACAAAACTTTAGGGAGTAATTTTCAAATCCTCAAATAACTTCCGAAAGGAAGTAGCTTTCATGAATATAACATGTATCAACAAGCAAATCATAATGGCTGAAAATTAAAACATATACATTAATTTAGAAAGCATAAAGGGAGCAATCGTTCATATAAAGAATAAGCTGGTATAAACAAGCACCAACCTCGTGAAGTTTCTTCCTTCTCCCTTTAGATTCAATAGGAAACCGTCGCAGCATGAAGAATAATCTGAAATCATTGCATATAACAATCCACAAGGTTGACACCATAAGGCCCCGAAAGTACCATAAATGGTTGCTAATGTACGGCTATGTGATTAAGAAGATTTACCTTCCTCCATAAAGCAAGAAACCAAGTGCTGCCATAAATGATACAACTGCAGTATACAGTATCATAAGAATATCAAATTTTATATACAAATTCAAGTTTCTTTGAAAACATAGCTTCTTTATAATGATAATTTTAAGGTTCTAAGTGCGTATTTGATTGATTGATCTTGTATTAGCATTATTTGGTTCAATTCAAAAAAGTCAACCAAAACGAACCACTTATGAGAAAGGGTGAAGTTTCGATCTTCACAACACAAGCTTGTGAGATATTGCAGAATAACTAACCTGCAATAAATATTTTTCCTACAAATTGAACGGTGCTGCTGTCGTCTACCCACAGGTATATCCAGATACAACCCTGTTATACACAACTTTATGTTAGAGAGCAAAATGGCAACTGAGATAATCTTTTCAAACTTGTAGAAGATGAAAAACTTTTACCTAGATCATGCAACATTCTTTCAGATGAGATAAAATAGTGTATTGAGTTCCCAGTGAATTACCACTCGGTGGGAAAGGGGAAAAAGCTTTTAAACTCCCCACACGTATGCGGACCAGACGAACGAGAGCGAGTGAGGTCGGGTGAAAGATTTGTGGAAGGTTCATGGGTTTTATTGGGTATTTAGTTTATGTTCTCCAGTGTCCCACTTACTAAACCCGTTCTCCAGTGTCCCACTTACTAAACCCACCACAGATACATAGACATAAATGTGGGTACTAACCTGAACGACATAAACTCCCACATTAACACACACATAAGTGATCCTGAGTTTATCTGTTGGCAAACTTCTCGCCTGCTCATTGTAAGAAAGTAGCAAAGGGGTATCAAGAGGTGGAAGAAAATTTTAAGAATAAGATTAACGACATGAAAACTAATTTTACTTGCCTGGTGATATATCTCCGCCCAAAATAGGACAAGGAGAGTATAAGTTGAAAAGAAAAGTAGTCCCGGAACTTCCAGTAGCATCCAGATCCAAACCTAATAAGTATTTTTATGTTTTTAATACCTAATGAGAATGATGCCTAAGAAAGCCAAGAGAAACTGCATTATAACTAAACAAATCACCATTGCATATACGGTTTACCATTCAGGTCACATCTTCAATTCTCCTCAAGTTAAGTAGATAGGACTCACAATTACATGTTCATTTCTTCTCATGCAAATTGGGGCCCACAGAAATGATGACGCTATATGGAGTAAGCCCGAACATATTATGCCAGCGATTAGCATAGCTACCAAATGATGCAATTCCAAAGAGTTTTTATGATGATAACCTACATACGATTAGAGAAATGACATATGATAGCATAGGATGTACGTTGAAGTGGGAACTACTGTGATACGTAAGATTCCAATCAGGTATACGATTTTCCACTATACTTTATTTTGTAGGTCCCATCCTCATATCAAGTAAACATGACCCATGGTTACATCTTCATTCTCCTCACATCATATAAAGGAACCCACAAGTACATGAAACTAAACCAAAAACGAACATATTGTTTCTTGGGAATCCATCCAAATTTGGGAAGCATGTAACATTACCAAGAGATTCTTTTATCATGGATGGAGATATGTTTTAGCCTAATAGAAAGGGGAAACAGTTAATCTAATATCCACTTTCTGTCAAGAAATCTGCAACAGCATGCTCACCTTGAGAGGCAAATTGAATACTTGCATATGAAATCCAAAAACAATGGCACGCACTGCAAAAAGAACAGTGACATATTAGTCACTAGCAACCTTCAAGAATTTAGGTTTAACGAATTCTTTGGATTATACCTCCATTTACGATGAAATTCATGAGATGGAAAACCTTCTGTGTTGTCCAACCATACTCGGGCACTCTGACTTCAATCCTAATTAATTGAATCTGTAATGACAAAGAGACTCAAAATAAACATTCATAGCAATAAAATCAAAATGTTTTCGACTAATTAAACAAAAACATGCACCTTTGACCTCAAAACTCCATGAGAAATTGTTGCCATATGAAAAAAAGTATGCATCTTCAACAATAGATAGGTGATGAACTATTGCCGTTTACCCAAATGCTTACCCGGTAAGCACTTACCGGTAGGAGTCAACACTATAATTTATTTTACCGGGTAAGATTGTAGTACATCAAAACGGTATCGTATGCAACAATTTACCCGGTAAGCACTTACCCGGGTAAGAGTCGTCACCCTCGCTTACCAGGTAAGACTCTCCATACTTATCATCGCTGTTACTGGGTAAGATTCTCGGCCCTTGCCATGTTCATCCGGTGAGGAAAAACCGGCTAGGCGTTTAGTAAACTGCCCCTTAGGGTCCAAAGATACCGAATCAGAATTATACAGTTCAGTCCAGGAAGACCAACATTGCCTTGCTGCTTTTCTCCAATGGATTTCTTAATTTTTAATTTTGGAGAACAAGATGGAATAATTGGTGCCAGGGACGCACTTGACTACAACAACAAGCTTTTTATCCCCAACTGTCTACGTTAGGCTAGTAATGGAACTCAATAGACATTATAAAGGAACACTAGTTGTATATTCAATAGCGCGTTCCAAGTCTAGACAAAGGGAGGAGGCACGAGCCACGATGTGAGAACTAGTGCATTGTATCTAGGTATTACCATGAAAATGGAACTATAAAGATGTCAGGTACCTATGTTTGTCATGTGCACCGAGATTATTCACATTCAGTTTCTTATTATTTATCACTTGGGCATAAATGATGGAGGAATGAGTGGTGGAAGAATTAATAAAAATTGAATGGGCATTCCCTATAGTGTTGGAGTAAAGGAAGGGAAAAAAACATTTTTTTCTTGCAAGCCTAGAAAACCTGTCCCCATATCGAATAGAGTCGATCAGAAGAAGAAAGCTGCAAATAATCTTACTCACCTCATCGTTGAGTAATTATTAGAAGATGCAACAAAGGGTTAAAGATATAACGAGTGTCAATGCCTTGCTTTCCGTAGTTGGTCAAGGCCCTCCTATGAAGGTCAGATTCAACCTTACTATGGACAAACAACAACAAAGACAAGAATCCTTGGCTTCTCAAGGCTTTGGGAGGTAAGTCTTTGTATGCAACTTTGCAAAGATATCGCTTTTGTGACTCGATCTAGTGACCTTCCAGTCACAAATGAGAAACTTTACTCATTGCTCAAAAGATATCTCCTCACAGGCAGCAACCGCAACAATAGGCATAAAACATATGGGTCAACTCATCCTTAAGAATATGGTTCGCGAAGCATCTGGCTTACTGGTAATCTCCCATTCCCGCCGTCGAGAGACTTAAATAACTATAGCATGCCAGAAACGATTGAAGCTTCATCATCATCCACCATGTATTATATACAAATAAAAAATAAATAGAACTTGTATTTACTTCACAACAAAGTACATATTATAGAAGGAAATGCAACTATGTCCCATTACTTTTTTTCTCTCTTCCAATTGGACAAAGGTTAATAAAGCATACAAACCAGCCACCAATCATGTAGTATCCCATGGAATCTCATGCAACAGAAGCTCAAGGTCCATAAATCATAGTCAAAGACAATGTAAGGTTAACACTTTATTTTGTCCTTTCCGAGCATGAAATATCAATAAGTACTTCCTATATCCCTTCAATCTATCACCTCGTCATGATAACCATAACAACTTTTGTCTTCCAGATCACCTTCTATTCGAGTTTAATCAAACTTTGGCATAGTTCTTAAGTAGAAATTTGAACGAAGCCTAGCTAACTGTATGGCTGTATAATATAACCAAGTAGTGGATTTGGTTAGTACAACTAAGAGCTCAACACGAATATGATGCCTATTACTAAGAATCAGCAGGCCTTTATTTGCCAACGACATTGGATTCTAGTTGCTCAATAGCCTTCATCATTGGAAGTACCAAACAATTATTCTCAAATTATAATTAAGAATCTACTGATTTATGAGAACAGTGTGGAACTTCTATCTCAATAACACTCTAAAAATAAAGAAATTTAAAGAAGAAATATGAAACCCATTATTAGGATACAAGACTCGAGGATAGAAACCCACTACAGCATATGATGGGAATGAACCAAAAAAACCGAAGGCTCAAAGATTGCAAATTCTACCAAAAAAAGTTACAGATTGAGGAGTGGGGGGGGGGGAATCTGAGCCCAAAGGATCTGATGCAGTGTCTTCAGGGAATCTTGGAGCCCATATTCGCCTCAAGACAACCTAAAAATTGGAGATCTTTTACACTTAAAACAGCATATACTTTTGGCTACTTTCTCTTCATTTGGTTTCAACCTACCACATCAGATAGGGTGAAATTTTTCCACATGAGAACAATTAGCTGACCAGTTTCAACTGCATAGTAGGTGCCAAGTCTGGAGCTTGGATGGAGGATAAGATTTGGCATATTCACCCATGGATAATCTTATGTTCCAACATAAAACTAGCACTTGTGGCCATGGAGGTTCAGAGTCCAGGCTATTCGTGGTCGCCCGGGGATTAGTCGGTGTGCTTAAGCCAGCTCGAAAACCCAAGGTTACCACAAAAAAAGGTAGGGAGCTTGGGAATTTTGAAGTTCAGAAATGGAATTGAAGCTCGTTTGGCAAAAAATTATCAACAGAACTTCTTCCAATCCGATACTGAAACATCAAACTGAAATTTCCAAACACATTATTACTTCAATAACTCCATTAAAGATCAGGGATTATTAGTATATCAGTTCCTAAATGGATTTCAGTTTTCTACTTTAAATTCCAAAAATTGAAATCGAACTTCCATTTTAGTTCCCTTCTTTTCCATGAACTCTTGAACTTAAAAGTCTTGTTTGGTATCCTTGTACTTTAGATAAGCACATGCATTCAACAATTTCTAAAACCTAAAGTTTGTAAGCAAAAATCCTGCATATCATTAGCAAGCTAAGAGATATAGGGGGAGATGACGTACAAGAGCTATGGCGGATACAAGAGCATAAAAAGCACAGAGAGTGAAGAAGATTCCATCTTGCCAGCTCCTTGATTCATTAATCTCTTCCCACCAATTTGACGATGACCACAGATCAATCATCTTCATCGACGACGGCGATGGGATGCTCAGTAGCATTCGCGTCATTTCCCACCTAACCCTCTTCACGAACCACAAAATGAGTGATTCACCAAAAACACACTGGTTATTATTGATTTGATTCTTCCTTGCTTCTCTCTCTCTCTCTCTCTCTCTCTCTCTCTCTCTCCCTCACACAGTAAACATGCAAAAAAACACACACTTTTGGATATTGAAATTCTTCTCTTCTTCTTCTTTCTTCTTCGGTGGAGATAAAAGTTATTATGGCGACTAGAGAGAGATAAGGAAAGAGGAACTTGGCAACCAACAGTGGTAGAGAGTCTCTTCGTCTAAATTTCTTGCAAAGACTCCATTCTTGGGATATGTCAGATGTTGAGCTGCCAATATCCCTAAATTGAAATTAAAATTAAATTAAATAAAAAAAGGGGGAAAAAGACAACCAATATTAAATCCCCTTACTTTTTTATGATTTAAAATGTTTGGACGTCAAAATTGTAATATATATATATATATATATATATATATATACACACACACAACCACCCTCGTACTCATACATAGAGAAATTTGATTAAAAAAATATGCTTTATTGTTATGAGAATATGTTTATATGGTTCGTAGTCGTATTGAAGGAAGTTAACCTCGGTGTAGGGATGGTAATGGGGTGGGGACTCCAATTCTTGTCCTCGTTCTTGTCCTCGTCCTCGATTTCCGATTTTTGTCTCCGTTTCTGTCCTCATCTTTACTGAGGAATTTAATCATATTCTCATCCTCGTCCTCAACGGGAAACGGAAATCCCCAACGGGGAAACGAGGATTTTTTTTCCTGTTTGCGTAAAAAAATTAAATCAAATGTGTGATAATTTAATACAAAGGAATTTAATTTAATACAAAAAATATACATCGTCATATGATAATTAATAAACCGAAAACAAAAAAAAATTAACGTCACATATACTAAAACATATTGAGTAATATCTAAAACCACATATAGTAACATCCAAAATATATTGAAATAGAATTATCATTTACAGATTTAATAAAAATAAATAATATAATTTATTAATTATTATATATACGGGTACGGGACGGGACGGGGAGTGTGATCCCCGTCCCAGTCCCCAAGACCTAGTTTAACGGGGAATTCCCGTCCCCAACCGGGACGGGTAAACCGGGTTCCCTAACGGGTCGAGGTCAATTCTCATGCCTACCTGGGTGGTCCTGAAACTGGGTGGAGAGATCTTGTTGTAAATACTTCAATTATTTTTTATTCAATTCAATACAAAAATAACATAACCATATCATATATAAGAGGAGGGTAAGGGCAAAATAAGGGCCTTAACTCTATTACTAGTATTTGTTTCCGAATATAATGATTAAAATTCTATTAGTGGAAAACAAAAGTCTATCTATTACTTATTCTTCCATCTTAGAGGTATAACTTACGATACTTTTGAAAACAAAAACAACACACTTATTGTTAACCATAGTATGTGAAATAATTGACAAAGTTTTAAGTTTTTCTCTTTTAAAAGCAATCTTTTATATAAGAGTTCTATAAAATTATGATAACATTGAGAATTAATGCATGTTGTATTATTTTATACGTTTTTTTTCATCTACGACTAGGATTTAAAATTTTGATATATATATTTGTTCCCAGTTCACTGTGAACTTTTTTAGTATGTATGTGTAACAAAAGCTACACCTAAAATAATTTCATATTGTAAACCGAATAAATATAAAATTAACAAATATATATATATATATATATTCATCAACACATTAAATGTTAGCTTCAGATGAGAAAAAATAAAGTAAAACAATACCTTAAGTTAAAAGTTCTCATGGTTATCAAATACATGGGGTTCTCAAATGATTAAGCCCCTATGTGTGTGTGTATACAAAAAGGATCGTGTGAGAATAGAAATTAAGATGAGAAGTATAAAAGAGGGATTTGGATCATTAATTACTTTTAATCTCAAACCAACTCATTAATTGCATTTTGGAAGGGAATTGGTCTAATGTTTCTCATTAATGTTGATCTAGTGGAACTCTTCAATTAAGATTGATTCAAAGATGGAGATCTCTTCTTACCATTTTCATCATAACTCTCAATATATATATATATATATATATAGAGAGAGAGAGAGAGAGAGAGAGGCGGGTTACGTTGAAAACCGCTCAATTCTTAAAAACCGTGCAAACCGATTTCGACCAATAGAAAAATTCTTTTTTAATTAAATTTAATCATTAAGGGTTTTGTAATACCTCATCTCACACATTGCATGTAACACATACTTCAATTATAAGAAATACATGTTTATACTCCATTCAGGTCCCTTAGTACAAGAATATACCATACAGAATACATGGTTCAAAAATTCAAAATACAATTCATGTACTACTCATCCTTCTTGTATCAAAACTATACATATTATGAGCAAATTTTCACACAGACATGCATAACGAAAAATATCACATTTTCCCCTTTCCCTTACCATAAGCACCTCCTGCAATACATATTTAAAATCACAAAATAAGGGTTAGACCGAAAGGTCTAGTGAGATCCAAAACAATTTTATTTCAAAACTTTGAAACTCCAGAACCAATAGTTCTTAGATATAATTTTTCCAAACTCAAAACTCTTTTAATCCTTCAAAATAAGATATCAACTTCAACTGTTTAAAAGAAGCAGAATCTTCTTTATTTCTCAAGAACAGTTCCAAAACCCAAATTTTATAAAGCTCAAATCAACTGTTGAAGCAGTTACCTTTCTTCATCAAAATTAACCATCAAAATCATATATTTCGAATAACACCATTTAAAATTTTTAATAACAAATACTCACCTTATGCACAGATTTGATAATAGATCACACAACAACTTCTTCAAATAATCACAAAATCTTTAAATCAATTTTATGCAAGTTTTCTTTCAAGAACACACATTCCCCGCCACACACATACTTTTCTTTTTCACAAAGATCTCCCAAAAAGATAAGATAAGATATCTTATATATATATATATATATATATATATATATATATATATATTTAACAAAGGCGGTGTGTGGTTTTATTAGAGCCCCTCTGGTCTATTTTATAAAAGACTTCTAAGTATAAAGACTTTTTGAAATAATATTTTTAAAATTATAAATATATCACTCAGCTTGATAAAACTTATGTTTTAAACTCACGATTTATAAAAGATTTTGCATCATTTTCAAATTAATATCTAGAATCCTCTGGTTCCATTATGAGGGTCAGTCAGACCCCTCTGGTTCCTTGCAAGGTATAATCAGAGCTCCTCTGTTTCCTCATAGTCAATGCTTTTATCAAAGCATTTTATTCATAACCAACGGTCATGAGCCATATCTTCTCCAATCACATAACATTATTATTATTATCATTTCTATTAAAGACAACATCTCTAAATTCTCAAATCACCAAGAAATGAGAACTTCAATCTGTTTTAACCTTAATAGATATCATAATAAGAGTTAAGCCAAGCAAACAACGACCAACCTTATATCCTCCCAATAACCCCTTTCTTGATATTCCACCCTTATATCCTCCCATTAATTTATATAAAGTAGTTTATCCATAGACAGACCTCAGTCATATATGTCAAAGTGAACTTGTTCATAATTTTCCAAACCAAATTATGGTTTCCAACATAGGTTTATAACCAAAAATCTTTTTAAACCTTAAGGACAACCTGTTCTTCCCAAAACAATTTCAAACCTTCAAACTCACAATCTTTATGTTTAAAACATCTAGAAAACAGCTTTTCTCCAAGCTCTTTCTTTTCCCAAATTATTAAAACTTAGTAGTTCAATATTTACAAACATAAAAGTTTTGGGTAATAAACTTACAGTTATAATCAAACAACAATTTAAAACTCACCTTATCAAATAAATTGTTTGTTGATAAACACACAACAAAACTTCACTTAACACAGAATCTTCAAATACTTTTAAAGCAACCGATTTCTTGAAGAACACCTCACCGCCTTTAAACACTTTTTTCTTTCTCAATAATCTCTTTCTAAAAATGACAGTGATAAGTGGTAACCTTATTTTCATTTTTCTTTAAATATCCCACCTAGGCGGTGAATGATGTTTATTATTATAATATTGACTAAGGCGGTGTGGCTTTTTTTTTATTTAATGCCATTTTGCTTAATGGTGAAGATACCATCCTCTTTTTAATAAAATAATAACACCACATAGTATATATCACATATAAGATTATCCACTCATATATATATATATATATGTATATATATATATGCATACCATGACATGCATGTCTTCATCTATGCATATTGTTCATGAAATTAATCAATTAATATATATGTCATCACGTAATTTACCAATTAATCACGTATATTTTACCTCGACCTAGGTTGTCTGAAACCCGGTTATAACACATGGTAAGGCTAAAGAATTACAAAGATAATGAAATGTGCCTGGTTGGTGATGATGAGCTCACCATAGGCAAAAGTAGACATGCACAAGTTTGTTGTTCCTATGTCAAATACATGGATAAGCACACAAGCACAAGATCACATATGAATGACTGAACTCCATAAACTGATCATAAATTGAATTTGGGGAAGTTTTTATATGGTTAAGTTATTGGCCAATCGGAAACAAACTGGACGTTAGAGATGGAGTCAATGTGTCTATTGTAGTGATAAATGGATTGGAGATATGCAATTTTGGTGTGAGCCTTGTGTATGCTGATGATGAAGCAGCCAACAAGATTCTGCCAAATAAAATGGGATGGGGAGAAATTCTTGGAGGAGATTTTTTTGGATTTCGACTAAGCATGGGAGCATATTATCTTTGCCGGCGTGATTTCTTTGAGTTACTGGATAGTGACAAACCACCCCTGGTTGGTTTTGGGATTTAGTTGGTGATATCATTGACTATACATGTATGTTTCTATTGTCAAGCTAATTTTGGGTGTTTGTAATTAAATCTATGCTGCAAATAGACCTTGGCAACTGATATATAGAGGGAACATACAATTTAACATATATTGCCCCTTGCCATTTATCATCCTATTATACTAAAACTTGATTAGAAGAGCCATTCACAGATCAACCAAAGAAGAAAGGTGCCAACACTTCTCTAATCGCATCACTTTAACACATACAAAGCACTGAAAATGGACGCTAATATGAAATGCTAAGAATGAATGGTTAATGCTTCTTGAGCGATCATGATTGAATATCTTCTACAGCTAGTAACTCAATACTGCAAGCTCGAATGAATCATCTCCATGAGATTGGTTGAGAAACACTCTCATGGAATTAGAACTTGCATTAATG